TGCCAGAAATTGGTGCATGGACGGAGGATAAATTTGTAGTAGATTGATAGATTGAACGCCAAATAAAATAAAGTGCAACAAAGTATTTTTGTATTTTTGGTTTAATAGATCTGAAAGTAAATGCAAAGGAAAAGTAGATCGCAAAGGCAAATATATGAGAAAGGGACCCAGGGGCCGTAAGTTTTACTAGTGGCTTCTCTCGAGAAAAATAGCAAACGATGGGTGAACAAATTACTGTTGGGAAATTGATAGAACTTCAAATACTCATGACGATATCCAGGCAATGATCATTACATAGGCATCACGTCCAAGATTAGTAGACCGACTCCTGCCTGCATCTACTACTATTACTCCACACATCGACCGCTATCCAGCATGCATCTAGTGTATTAAGTTCATGGAGAAATGGAGTAATGCAATAAGAACGATGACATGATGTAGACAAGATCTATCTATGTAGAGATAGACCCCATTGTTTTATCCTTAGTAGCAACAATACATACATGTCGGTTCCCCTTCTGTCACTGGGATCAAGGACCGTAAGACCGAACCCACTACAAAGCACCTCTTCCCATTGCAAGATAAATAGATCAAGTTGGCGAAACAAAACCGAAATATCGGAGAAGAAATACGAGGCTATAAGCAATCATGCATAAAAGAGATCAAAAAAACTCAAATACTTTCACAGATATAAAAAGATAGATCTGATCATAAACTCAAAGTTCATCGATCCCAAGAAACACACCGCAAAAAGAGTTACATCATATGGATCTCCAAGAGACCATTGTATTGAGAATCAAGAGAGAGATAGGAAGCCATCTAGCTACTAACCAAGGACCCAAAGGTCTACAAAGAACTACTCATGCATCATCGGAGAGGCACCAATGGAGGTGGTGAACCCCATCCGAGATGGTATCTAGATTGGATCTGGTGGTTCTGGACTCTATGATGGCTGGATCAATATTTCGTCGACTCCCCTAGGGTTTTTGGAATATTGGGGTATTTATAGAGCAAAGAGGCGGTCCGAGGGGCACCCGTGGTGGGCACAACCCACCAGGGCGTGCCTGGGCCTCCTAGCACGCCCTGGTGGGTTGTGCTCTCCTCGGAGCACCCCCTGGTGGGTTGTGCTCTCCCCGGAGCACCCCCCATGCGCAGGCAGGGCCCATTATGTTCCTTCTGGTCCAAAAAAATCTCCGTAAAGTTTCATGGCATTTGGACTCCGTTTGGTATTGATTTTCTGTGATGTAAAAAACATGGAAAAAATAGCAACTAGCACTTGGCACTATGTCAATAGGTTAGTACCAAAAAATGATATAAAATGATTATAAAACATCCAAGATTGATAATATAACAACATGGAACAATCAAAAATTATAGATACGTTGGAGACGTATCAGTTTTTCCCTTGAAGAGGAAAGGGTGCTGCAGCAAAGTAGAGATAAGTATTCCCTCAGTTAGAGAACCAAGGTATCAATCCAGTAGGAGACAATGCACAAATCACCAATACCTACACAAACAATCAAACAAGTTGCACCCAACATGATAAAGGGGTTGTCAATCCCTTCACGGGCACTTGCAAAAGTGAGATCTGATAGAGATAGATGAAACTAAACAAACAATAAAGTAAATATTGTTGAGTTTTTTGGTTTATAGATCTGAAAGTAAAAGATTGCAAAATAGTAGATCGGAAACTTATATGATGGAAAATAGTAGATCGGGAACTTATATGATGGAAAATAGACCCTGGGGCATAGGTTTCACTAGTGGCTTCTCTCAAGATAGCAAATAATACGGTGGGTGAACAAATTACTGTCGAGCAATTGATAGAAAAGTGCAAAGTTATGATGATATCCAAGGCAATGATTATGAAATATAGACATCACGTCCGTGTCAAGTAGACCAAAACAATTTTGCATCTACTACTATTACTCCGCACATCGACCGACTCCTGCCTGCATCTAGAGTATTAAGTCCATGAAGAATAGAGTAACGCATTAAGTATGATGACATGAAGTAGAGGAATAAACTCAAGCAATATGATGTAAACCCTGTCTTTTTATCCTCAATGGCAACAATACAACACATGCCTTGCTGCCCCTACTATCACTGGGAAAGGACACCTCAAGATTGAACCCAAAGCTAAGCACTTCTCCCATTGCAAGAAAAACCAATCTAGTTGGCCAAACTAAACCGATAGTTCGAAGAGAATTACAAAGATATCAAATCATGCATAAAAGAATTCAGAGAAGATTCAAATAATATTCACAGATGAGCTGATCATAAATCCACAATTCATCGGATCTCGACAAACATACCGCAAAAGAAGATTACATCGGATAGATCTCCAAGAACATCGAGGAGAACATGGTATTGAGAATCAAAGAGAGAGATAAGAAGCCATCTAGCTACTAGCTATGGACCCGTAGGTCTGAGGTAAACTATTGACACTTCATCGGAGGGGCAATAGAGTTGATGTAGAAGCCCTCCGTGATCGAAGCCCCCTCCGGCAGGATGCCGGAAAAGGCCCCTAGATGGGATCTCACGGGAACAAAAGGTTGCGGCAGTGGAAAAGTGTCTTCGTGGATGCATTTGGAGGTTCGGGAATATATTTGAATATATAGGATGAAGAATTAGGCCAGGGGAGTCACGGGAGGCCCACAAGGCAGGGGGCGCGCCCTTCCCCCTTGTGGCCGCCTTGTAGCTCTTCCGACTTGATCTCCAAGTCTCCGGCGTGTCTTCTGGTCCAAGAAAAATCATAGCGAAGGTTTTATTCCATTTGGTATTCCTTCTCCGAGAAGCTAAAAAACAAGGAAAAAACAGAAACTGGCACTGGGCTCTAGGTTAATAGGTTAGTCCCAAAAATAATATAAAATAGCATATTAATGCATATAAAACATCCAAAACAGATAATATAATAGCATGGAACAATAAAAAATTATAGATACGTTGGAGATGTATCAATCCCACATAGAGTAATTGTGCTTATAAGCTGGACTTGTCAAATGCTTACGACAGGGTTGACTGGAATTTCTTGAAGCAAGTAATGCAAAAGTTGGGTTTCTCTTATTGATGGGTTGACTGGATTATGACATGTGTCACATTTGTAAGGTATTTTGTAAAGTTTAATGAACCCTCTTGGATTCATTTGCATCAACGTAGGGGCTTCGGTAAGGTGTTTATTTCAGGGATTATCACACGTTTAAACAAGCCCTGCTTATCAAGCATGGTAGCTTATTACCGAACCTGGCAGTTTATATGCTTAGGTCCAGAAGGCTTGCTACTATCAACCAGCCGGCTCGAAGAAACTGTTTATACTGGCAGCACATCACCGTCATGGCTAGAGATTAGCTATTATCTCGATCTTTTGAAGAAGGGCCTAGTTTGGCAGGTTAGCAGTGGAAGGAGCATATTGGTATGGCGTTATAACCGGATCCCGATGCCCCATTCTTATAAATCGGCCATGATTCATGGAAGGTGCACATTTTGGTTTGTTTTTGAGCCGTTGAATGAGCATGGTGTGGAATATTGACCTCCTAATAAACTACTTCCTACCTTCGGATGTTGATGAAATTTGAAAATATGAGCATCTCCTGGATTGGAGGAAGGTACTCTTGCTTGTGGCCCTGGGAATGTTGGTGTTTTTCCAGGATGAAGCACCCATAAACTTACCTTTGAGGAGCCAAATCGAGCATTTGAAAGGGCTTCTAGCTCTACACATGACATCATCAGTCCTATTGGAAAATGATCTGGTCATGTGGAGTTTCTCCTATAGTACAAAACTTTGCATGTCGTGTGGCCGTCGACTCACTCCTGACTGGTGTAATAAGCATAAAACAGGCCTAGAAGTTTAGAGTTTCTGCTCGATTTGTGACTCTGAACTAGAAGATAATTTCCATCCATTGTGTAGATGCCCTCTAGCTAGAGAACTTCAAAAAACCATGTCAGAGCCCTGGCGACTCCCAATGCTCAATGAACTTAGAAATACTAGAACTGATGGCTCTTTCATGCCCTAGACTCTCCCTCAGAGATTGAACACTACACGTTAGTAATGATGCTTTGGATATGCTAGCATATTCACAATGAGGTGGTTTATAAAAAAGTCACCACCTATGGAAGCTTCTTGCTGGTTCCTATGCAGCTATCTAGACTCTTTAATTGGCATCAAGCAAAATCCGGCTGCAGATTCAGTCAAGGGGAATAAGTTGTCTCATATGACCATCTGGCTCTGAAACCACATGTCATCACGTCGGTTGGGCCCATTCTTAAATGGAACCTGCACCCATTAGCTTAATGGCAATCTGTTACGGTGGTTGCCATAAGTCAGTCACCCTTGACGAAACACTTCAATGACGCTTCATTTTCTGTCATGCAAGAGGAGACTTCCATGATGAAAAAATGACTACTGGTGTGGAACTCATCTATGACAACACGTGTATGACTATCTTGATTCTATCATAAAACCGTCGCAGATGTACATCGCTAATAAAAAAAGATACATACTATGGCAATCAAGTAACATCAAGCATGTGTCTTTTTGTAGTGTTGGTGCACCCCTGTAGGGTTAAATCTATTCGAATAGTTGTGTTCATGGTTATGAACGACTTGTACATTATTGCATGATCATAGAAAATTTTAACGTTTATTAATAAAATTTGCCAAGATAAGTAAGAGGGTCATGGATTACTTCCTCGTGTGTGAGTTGAGGGAGGATCATTGTGGTGTATTGTTGTGCTGCTTAGATAGATGGACTCCTACGCACTCTCTTACCCCCTATCCCAAATATTGGTAGCTTAAGTAGTCTTTCGTAGTATTAATGTTTGTGTTGTTGTAGTTCGGCCCACATATATCCCTTTCTTTTGATACCGATGCATATGTGTAGCTAGTTCTGATGGAAGTCTTACGAGTATATCTGATACTCACCATGCTTTATTTATTCGTTTGATTTGAATTCTAAAAATGGGATGGTAGCATTTGGAACATGTAATCTCTAGTAGTGAGGGATGGCGTTAGCTACGGTTATCCTAAGCAGTGGCCTAAAAAGAGTTATGTACCGTAGCCTTCTTAAAGCATTTGTTAAATTGGCATATTTAAGGTATATTTCCGTTTCTCGATGAGAGCCGCAACTAGGTTGTGAGACCCTTGTTTGTATTCGGTTGTTAAACTTTACTCATTTTAGAGTTGTTGTATATATATATATGTTATAGTTCTATCATAGAAATGTATTATGTTACCTGTTGTTCTCACCCACATGGCATGCATGTTGCGCGTATGCATATAACATGCACGTCGAAGGTCTCAAAATCTTTTATATGCATTTGCTGGTGGAATGGCTAGATTTGCAAATCTCTAATCACGTATCTCGACAAGCATATTTTTCTAAGCTTTAGTTTTTTCCATGAAAGCTTGGTATATAAGATTATTACTATCAGTAATATGACTTTCAATTTTAGCTCACTGCTCGGGGGAGAAAGTATAACTCACAGAGGGTTTAACCACGCTCGTCATGAAGGGGGGGGGGGGCTTGATTTCTCCAATCAAGGTGATGTTGTCTTGACGATCCTTCTTGAATTTGAAAGGAACTCCTGCAACTCCTTCTATTCTCACACCTTCTTATATGCCTCATAAGCTTCACGATGATCATTCGATAAATCCTCAAGATTAGGCTTCATGATGTTATCGGCACTAAAGCTTGTCATCGGACATGATGGATGATGATAATTCTTGATCTTTAGTCCCTAGTAGAGTCGCCCAAAAGTATGTTCACACGCAAACACGTCACGGTGTACCCTGACGTCGAGCGCGATACACAAGACAATGTCACGCGCGGGAAGGGGGGATCGCCGGGAGCGCAATATGCAAGACATGTTGGTGAGAACTTTTGAAGGTCTAAAAACCCACACGCCCGACAGGGACCTGTGAGGGAGTGCCGTGGCTATGGGTTTCCCTAGGTTGGTTCAATGCCCCTAGAGCCCCATGACTCACTGCTCTCCGGCACGAAGAACGAGGGAGCAAAAAATGGAAGAGACACCAAAATAGATGAAAAGGTAGTACATGTGTTTGTGATTGTGTGTTGTTGTTAAATAGACCAACACCTCACATCTATTTATGAGGCAGCTAGACTTACCATAAAAAATCCAAATCTTCCCAAAACCAAGCTAACTCGGATTTACACATGGGCCCGAGACAACATTTTGGTGTTTGGGACCCACATGCTGCATACCATCTCAGATTGAAATGGACTCGACAAGACAAAGAACTTTCATGCTGGGCGTTTTTTCAATCTGAGTCCATTTTGAGGGTGAAATCCCGCGCCTCCCATCACACATGTCGGGAATGGACGATAGTGTTTTTCTTGGCTAGGACTAGATAGTCAGGTTCGATCGTCTGGACAAAGTGGCCACATCAGACATGTCTGGACATGGGCGACGGTATTTTTGGCTTTGGAGGACGTTCGGCCAGATTGTCCGACCATCTCCATTTCGGATGGTATTTCTGGCAGCGCATTGTTTGGCTAGAGATGACCCGAAAAGCAAATTTGTTTGTCTCGACGACCCAAAAAACTTTTTCATCGATGGCCATCTTAATTGAAACTTGGCTAATTTTGCTTGTTTAGAAGAGCGAGTTGTGGTCTGGCTGAGTCCTTGACCACAAAACGCAGTTGATTTGTGTTTAGCAAAATTTAATCTTGTGGATGTTTGTGACTACAAGTTTTTACCCAAAAAAAAAAGCTACTGAGTGAAGAACGAGGAAGTCTGCTTCATTCAATAGTTTCATATGCAAATTGCATATATAGTCTTTTTTTTTGCGGGTTAAATTGCATATATAGTCACCCGCACAAAAAAGAAAAAAAAGAATTGCATATATAGTCAACACGCACTGCATTTTACTCTACTTAATATATGCCCTAATAATGGGAGATCTCTCCCTATTTGGACCAGCAGGCTGTCATTTGACTAGATCCCAAATTCCCATGTGAAGGGCTTCCGCAGGAACCACAATCGAACATGCAGATAGTTCTTTCAGCCGAGGAACAGACAGCGAGTAGGCCCCGTTTGGCTTTTCTTCATCCAGCATTGCCTCGATTGTCTCTCTGCACCTACCTGTGTGTTTTGTTTTCCTTAGAACGCCACTACCTGTTAGGTTGGACGCTTTCCATTTTGTTGTGTCCTGTGTGATTGTGACAGCCTAATCCATCTTTTGGTTTTTGATGCTCCTCGTGGCTCCTATGATGCCCCGGTGTGATCCACCGCCCACGGCAAGATCCCCCCTGGAACTGGACGATCCAGAAGCGGGGCCACTAGAGTGCAGCGTCGTGGTCACGCAGAATGATTTTAACTACCTTTTTCGTGCATGTATAATTTTGAGGCTGAAAAAGGTAGCGTTATCTAGAGTTGGAGGAGATGCATGGTGTACCTATCGTGCGCTAAAGAACCTTAATAATGGCGGCCCAATCCGCAAAGGGATAAAGTGTCCCAACCAAGATTTGTTTAGCTGTTGCAAACAAGAGATGAGTAGTTTCTTCCCTGCTACAGAAATTTTATTTTGGGTTATGATCACATGTTCAAATTTTGTGATGCACTTGTACTATTTATTATCACATGTCTAGATTTTAAGACCCTTGCATTAAATCACTGCATGCAAGGACCAAGAGAAAACTCATCAATGTAGAAGTTTCTGGTCATTTAATGATCATGCATTGCAATTAATGCATCAGTAAACATAACTTTTTGAGTAAAACAAGCGTAGTAATTAGGAACTTTCGCAATATACGGAATTTAATACACCACTCACCATCTAAGGGATTCTGAAAGTGAGCTTTAATAAATCGAAAAGGAGGGAGTATTTATTGTGAATTCAACCAAGGACGCAGGTAGTTAACATTTTATGCTGCTAATTTTAGGAAACAGCAGACGTTCTTAATCAATGCAGTGTATAGGGCCACTTTATCTTCCTCCCGTTTCCACACTTAAGTGGGTGCCGGAAAAGGGTAACATCCGAAGCGAATAAACAGCCGGGAGGGAGCCACATATTAATTAGCCCATTTCTGTTTTAAATCCGTCCTCCCCTTCCTCGCCCACTTCCACCACCACCACCACCACCACCACCTCGTCTCCCCTCCCTCCCACCACCTCCGCCACCGCCCAGCTCCAGCCCTAGCTCCGATCTCGCCGCCGCCGGGCCCCGGATCCCGCCCCGCGACGAGACGCGCCCCGGCCTCCTGGTCCTGGGCACGACGCTCCCTCCTCCCGCTCCGCCTTGCGTGTAAGTCCTCCTCCTCCTCCCATCGTCTCGACCACGGCCCCGCGCTCCCGCCCGGCCTCCTAGCATTGGGGAGCGGGGCGCCCCGGAGACGGGCGCGGCCTGCCGCTGCGTTCCGGCGCTGTTGCTCGTGCTGTTTGGGGCGCCGGGGCTCCGGTTCGCGGGTGGGCTTCGCGAGGTGATTTGGGCGTGGCGCGCGTGATTTGGCGCGGGATTGCGCGTTTTGTCAAGGTGGCGATCGGGTTCGGATTGGGAATGCGGTCTGGGTCTCGGTGGGGATCGTGGGATTGGCCGCGAGTTGACTTTTGGGAGCAGCGGCTATTTTGACCATGCCCTGCGATTTGATTTGGACAGGGAGATCGCCGCCTCGTGCCTTTGCTGTTCTAATCGTCTAGACATGCCATTAGCTCGAAATGTTTATTTGGGGCCTACATGCCAAACTTCGTTGTCACAGCCGAAACAAGTGGCAAAGGTAAGAAAAAGCAGTAGATCTCATAGAATAACATGTAAGAAGGTTCAGGACGATTTCGTTGTTGCGTGGCATCTTGCCGTATTCCCTTCGTACATGACAGATCCCTTGAGTGATCGCCATTGCTTTGTTTCTTGTAGATGAATGTGGTTAATGGATTAATCTTGTGTAACCTTGCATTGCAGAAAGGTGGCAGCATTGGGGGGACAATTTTGTTCTCACCCTGTTTGGTACGTGGCACGTAGTTTTGGCGTTCTGAAGTATATGTTGGCGGAGGGTATAATCCGGATATATTACTCTTGATTCTGCAATGGCAAGGAGATGAAAGTACCGCGGGTGTGGCAGCGGGGCAGCAAGGACATGACAGCCATGCCACATCCGCGCCACCGCACTGCCAAGAAGCCCATGTGGATAATTGTGCTACTGTCAATTGTTTGTGTTTCGTTGATTGGGGCTTATGTCTATCCTCCACGGCGCTACTCGACCTGTTACTTCTTTGCTTCAAGTGTTTGTACTCCCTTCAAGGATTGGCTCCCTGCTGTGACCCGGCGGGAGCCGACCGATCAAGAGGTTTTTTCGTCTGTGGTTATCAGGGATTTGCTTTCAATGCCTATGCCCGTCTCCAAGAAGCCAAAGATTGCATTTATGTTCTTGACACCTGGTTCATTGCCCTTCGAGAAATTGTGGGAGAATTTTTTGCAGGTTCTCTGCTGATATTCCTTTTAGACGAATATATAGAGTTTATATTATGTCTGTATGTAGAAACATTTTTCTTAATCTAAAACGAGAAATGGTGTGCCTGAACTTCTGTATACAGGGCCATGAGGGACGATATTCCATCTATATCCATGCATCTCGTGAAAAGCCTGTGCATTCTAGTCCTTTGTTTGTGGGCCGAGAAATTCGCAGTGAAAAGGTACGAAGTTCCACCACTACTTAGTATGCTTCTTTTCTCCGTTTATCTTAATCCACACGTCTAATCAGGCCATGGAATTCAAATAAGTAAGAAAGATCATCGTAATTTAACACTTTATGTGGTTGTTGAGAAAGAAGAAAATCTTGTCATCGCTCGTGTTTTCCTACATTCTTAATCGATATGCAAAACTGGCAAAACAATAACAAATATGGATCATACCGCAGTTAGAAATATGGACAAGGGTGTAAGGCTACATTTGGGCAGTAGTACATGTATAAAGGGTACTGTACAATGATGACTGATTGTCTATATAGCATTATTCGGTGATTATTTAAACCACGCTAATGCAAGATAACTTGTTTGCTCATTCAAAAATGGGTGCCGAGATAACTATATGTTGCTCATATTACAAGATGCCCAAGTCTCATAATCTGACCGTAAACCATACTATGTCTCTATATAATAAAAGATTAATGCTTTTCTACTATTGAGACTTCGTCTGTATGCCTTATGGAATTTGTTTCTACTATTGAGACTATCTCATGTGCCTTATGGAATTTCCGCAAGATTAGAAAATCTTTTCTGTAAATGAGAGGTTGTGGTGGTTCATCAACGCCTTCCTTCTCTCCTTTTTTTAATCGCGAAAAAATCTTGTAACAGAAAGAAAACTAACCAACTCACTGAAACATTGCTAAGCTCGTTTAATAAACGAATTTAACCACTTCCTAGAAAAATAAAGTTGAGCTACAAGGGTCGTAAAGAAGCATGACTAGGTGTGGCTGTGAAGGTGTGAGGCTGTAGGCCATGCATGATGCCGGTTTTGGCAGAACTCAGATGAGCACAAGAATGCAACTGAGATGTAAGGCAGGCTGGTTCATTGACATTGGTTTAACATGATCAGTATAGTTTTTTCATAGCAAAGCACAAATATTCAGCTAGTCTACCAAAATATAACAGATGTTATTGTGAGGTTATGGGGATGATTGGATGATAGAATGCATTGAGATAGAAAATTGCAATATGCATAGAAAAAATGAGTACATGATATATTGGTAGAACTCATTACAGTTGACATAGGAATATGTGAATGCAACTGGATTAGTCATGCATGCGAGATGAGTTTTTTGCCTGGCTGTAACTTGCTGTCTTTTGTGGTCATGCATGTGAAATGAGCTATTTTGTCTGGCTGCAACTTCCTGTGTTTTGTACGCGGTTGGTTCTCTTATAAGAAGACCACTATACTGCTTTGCAGCAAAAGAACCATTCCCAACTTCTAGAATTTCACAGCAATTTGTGATTCCTATCTTCTGTATACAACACATCACATTATTAGTTTATAAGCTACATGTTTTTCTTTATAAAACTAAACATTGTAATTTTTTTATAATGCAGGTAGTATGGGGCAGGGTTTCAATGGTTGATGCAGAGAAAAGGCTGTTAGGAAATGCATTGCTAGACATTGATAATCAATTTTTCGTCTTGCTTTCTGACAGGTTTTGAATAATTCTTGCAAAAGGGTTCCTTAGTCAATTTTCTTCCAGTATGTTAATATCCTTTTTCTTTGCATGGCAGCTGTATTCCACTACATACATTTGATTACATCTATAATTATCTGATGGGAACAAATGTTAGCTTCATTGACAGGTAAGAGCAATTTAACTAATATTTGGATACCTGTAAGAAGAGAAAACGCAAAAGACAGAAATGTAGCGTAGCGCCAAGAACACATAGTGCTATTTAGAAGATATCAACTCATGTATTGATGACAATACCTATACTCCGCTCGTCTAATTTCGCTTATCATCCTATTTACATGGAAACAGTTGTGAATATGGCAGATGCTCCAGTGTGCACGTTTTATCTCACTATCACTTGTATTTCTTATATCAAAGGAATGAACACAGCACATACGTCATCGAAAGGATAGTTTAGAATACATTACCTGTATCTTCCTTTTCGAAAGAATATAGCAAGGAGATATGTTTGCTGCCCACTTTGTATGGCAGAGTAAAATATGCATGTCTTTAGCCTTCTATTGATTGTTTGTCCATACTATCAGTTTCCTGGATCCTGGTCCTCATGGAAGTGGAAGGTATTCTATAGAAATGTTTCCTGAAATAGAGCACAGGGACTTCAGGAAGGGTGCGCAGGTACATGTTTTGCTTTACTACTACTACCGTGTTTTATAAAATGTACCACAACATGCATATGGTATCACAAAGGAACAAGTCCATTTTACACCATCAACTCTTCCAGAAGTCCAGAAAACACCTCCAGCCATTCCTTTCTTAGCCTCCAACTATTGAAACTGTCCACCTTTCGGTCGTTTCCCCTAGGCTAGATTCATGAGTGGGTCTCGACATGTTAGCAGCCACATCAGTTGTCTTGGCTTATCTGGCATCCCAACAGGCGACTCTATATAGAGTGGAATCCTAAGTAAATAGAAAATGATGATGGGGGCGTTTGTCTCAATGCCCACATCACTGTCATAGAAACATGTAGTGTCACATCAACCGAAACTATAATGTTTTAGGGAGAGGGGGTTGTTTTGACCAGTTGAGAGGTAAGGGATTGTAACACTTAATGGTTTTATAGCTGAGGGTATTATTGGACTTGCAGAGAAAGTTGGTCTCATGTGCTAGATTTAGTTGTGGTGACCTGATGGGTTTTGAGTTGAGGGGGTACAACCTTCGCCTTCACAGGTGCCGCAATGGCATGCCGGTAGGTACAGCGGTAACTTAGGTCTTGGATACTAATCTCTTAATAAGTTTACTGATAGCTCGATCAGGATCACATAGCCAGCCTTTCTTTATATAGAGGAATTGGGAAAGAAAAAGCTTAAGCCGAATCTGAAGGAGAAGTTAAGCACTAACAAACTTAAAAAAAAACTAAACAGATTGATACTATTCTAACTTGTGTATCAAGGTGATTTGGAGATAAAGGCACAGACTGCACCTTATCCTCCCTATCGCAGATATGTAATCACTTGGATTTCTTCATGCTTTGCTGAATAATTTTGTGCTTCCTGTAGTGGTTTGCTATAACAAGAAGGCATGCTATACTGATAATGGCAGACAACCTCTACTACCGTAAATTCAAGCTATATTGCAAGGTACGTTTCACTCTGATGCCAGTTATGTCATTGCTTGTTGCATGCATACAGTGATAACTGCTAGCTCCTTTTCTACGAGAAAATAAGTAGGTTTTGTAGAATAACATTTGATAATAATGCTAAGGTGTTAGTTTAGGTCTAAACCTCAAGATGTATAACTGAAAATGATCTGAAATTGGGAGAAGGCTTCTGCCGCAGTGCCTTATTTCGATTGCTTCATAGAAAAAACCACATGGAATCATGGGGGATAGTGTTTTAAACGAATGCTCACAGACCTTCAGACAGGTGTCTCCTATTTCAGCAGTGTGGCACTGTATAAAATCAGGCTCAAATAGCCACATCACATGCTGACAGGTGCCTTCTATTTCAGGCTATAAAATCAGGCTCAAATAGCCACATCACATGGTGCCATGATTGTTCTCATGCTGTTTTCAGAACCTATGCTTTGTGTTTCACCTTGCGACTGTTCTTTGGAAGTTGGTTTTAGATAAGCAATGTTTTTGCTTTGTGTTTTGCAGCCAACAGTGGGACGGAACTGTATCGCTGATGAGCACTATTTGCCAACCTTGTTCAAAGTTAGTAATAAATCTTTTGAACAGATATCTAGCTTTCTGTTCTCCATTTGCTTTTTTTATTTACTTCCACATTAATGTTCAGATAGTAGATCCTGGTGGGATCTCTAATTATTCAGTGACACATGTTGACTGGTCTGAGGGGAAATGGCATCCGAGGTCCTATAGAGCTGCTGATATTACCTATGAACTCTTAAGAAACATAACGGTATATGCTTTTATCTTAATTTTGCCAATTGACATGATCTGTATGTTATACACTGACTCAACTACTTAAATGTTCTGCAGTATTTCAATGAGATTGTGCACATTGCAAGTGATGAGTCTGTAAGCATAACTATTCCTACTTATCGCCCAATCACAATATATGATTTTTCTGTTACTAGGACTTGGTGATAATTAGTTGATTGTTGTGATCTAGTACTTGCCTTTGAATGCCTGAAGATATTTTTCGTTTTGAATTTTTGCATTCATGTACTAGGAATCTAACTAAAACATACCTTGCATGTGATTACTATTTATGGATGTATTTTTTCCGAAAAGGAGGGGAAACCCCTGGCCTCTGCATCGGTTGATGCAAGCAGCCATCTATTGTTGCATAGTTTCAGCATGCATACAAGTCATACAAGAGTACAAAAGACTAGCACAACCAGTTGGTAATAAGATTACACGTTTCCCTTATGCCTCACTAATCCTATTACCAGACCGCTATCCAATGGACATCAAGATATTGTGTTCGTGTCATCAGCAGTCATTCTGAAGAACTCCATTCCAATAGTTCAGCGAAATTTCTAGATGCAAATAGTCGTGTTGTAGCATTGATGTGAATGATTTTACATATTTCTTTATCTATATTGCAGAGAACTGTGACATCGACCCCATGTATATTGAACGGAAGAAAGAGACCGTGCTTCCTTTTTGCAAGAAAATTTTACCCAGATGCTGTCAACAATCTACTGAAGCTATTTCCCAGTTACACATCTGCTTGAATTCTACACGATTCTTTGCCATTGGCCTAGGATTCCCCTAGGATTTTTTCTTTTATGTAAATTTTGCAATTGATACTTAGCTTCTTAACAGAGATCCAGGGCCAGAGACATGTCGTTGCTGTAGCAACTATAACGACACACTGTCATTCTGGGACCCTAGGTAGGGCTGATGTTATATCTATTTAGTATATGGACACTGCCCTCATTGTAATCCACTGTGCCTTGTGCATGTTTCTGTTAGCTGTCCATTTCATCTTTTTTTCTCATTCCTGTATTTCTAACTTTCGCTTTCCTAGTTTCCTAGCTCCCATCTCTTGAGAAACAGGAGTTTTGTCCAGTTCAGCTGTTACTATACCCATCCTTTTTGGACACAGATTATGAAATGAGAGCAGCCTTATAGTCTAGCTTGCTCAGTTTTGCCGACATGTCTATATTTCTAATCTCTTTGTTTTCCAGATACACATACGCAGTAGTTTAGGCTTATGGCGAGTTAGTATGTCATTTGTGCAATTTCTTACCTGTAGCATTTTTTTTCAGTATTCAAAGTACTCCCTCCATCCCATAATGTAAGACGTTTTTTGACACTACACTAGTATCAAAAAACGTCTTACATTATGGGACAGAGGGAGTAGTTTTTAGTATAAAAAATGCAGTTGTACTTGTCATGTTTGCTCCAAATGTGGATATTGCAAAGGTCAGCAGTGTACAACTGTACATCATCTTAACTCAACAGAAGAATTCAATTTGTGCTGGTTGCTCTACTGAGAATGGGAGTACCCATCTATATTGACTGAGATCAGAAACAGGGCCGGGCAATTCAGAGCAAACTTAAATCGCCTTGTTTTGAAGGAGCAGCCAGAGTTACAAGGTCAGTGAAAGGGTCACCAAACGGATTGTAAGTTCCGGCCGGATGCACACAATACTGGGGCTGCTGCTGGAAATACTGGTGCTGATGCTGCTGAGCCTGGAAATACTGCTGCTGATGCTGCTGCTGCAGCTGGGGCTGGTAGTATTGGAGCTGAGGCTGGTAGTAGTATTGCTGCTGATGTTGTTGAGCCTGGAAGTATTGCTGCTGCTGGGTCACCATTGCCAGCCGGATGTTGGAAGGGGGCGCAAAGCTGTTGGACATGGCGAAAGGGTCGTTCGTTTCGAAGGGATTGTTGGCTTGTCCAAGGCTGCCGTTGTAGGCCACGCTGGCGATCTGCTGCCTCCTCGCCCCGTCTTCGTAGAGGCTGTCGAGTAGCATTATGTCAAAGCCCCCAGCCTGTTAATCAGATGGAAAATGTGCAAGTGTCATCAGTTTGAATTTTACAGCCATGGGCAATGTCTTCTGAGTTCTGACTATTAATTGGGCTAACAGGAACTAGCTAATTAGCAACGGTACTATGCTGACCAATTTGGTCTCAATTGGTTGGCTGGTGTAGCGGCTTGGAGCAGTGACGAGGGCCAGCTCCCACCCAGATGTGCTGCCAGAAAACAAATCTTGACAAGATGCTTTGCTTCCATCTCCTACAAGCAGAGACCAAAAAAAACATCCGATGACACTTTCTCGAAGAACATTTGGGAGCAACAATGCAGGTAAGTTAATTAGACATTAGAGCTCAATGTTTCGGCAACCATGCTTGTATATTACTGTATGATGCTATTTGAGAGAGCTTGACAGGAGAGGTATATATGGCGATCTCCTTCTGTACCTGGTGCCACAATAGCGAGTGCAAGCGCGTTGTGTTCATCAAGATCCACGACAAAGGGATTCACCTCCTCATCCAGGTTCTGCATGAAGCATGCAAGCAGGAAAGGACAGTAGTGAGATTCAGAGGAGATGAACCGAAATGGACCAGAAAAATAGCTTATGGAGAAGAATACGAGTAAATCTCCAGTGGTTTCCATTGCGGGCAGTTGTTGTTCAGGCTCAGGCTCAGGCTCAGGCTCTGGTTCTTGTTCAGGCTGTGCAGGCTCTTCTTGCTCCCCTTCCACCGGCTTTTTAGGTTCTTTTGGAGCTTCCTGGCTGTAGGTTAGTAGCTTCCTCTCCTCACTGTCCTGTTTTGGCAACAGGAAGAGTTACCAAACAGAGTGTTACAAAAGAACTGCTGTGGCACTTGCACTTACTTGTAGAACAGGTCTGCACTCACCAGTCTCCTGATTGTGGGACGTGGCACTTCTCTGATGTACTCCTCCATGGCTGCAAGAAATGATGGGGGTGGCTGTAGAACATCGCGCGATGAAAAGCACATTAGAACACCATGATCATGAGATGAAGAAGTTAGTCATTCACCCTTCCATTGTTCAAGACCAAGGTGAAGAGATGTACAGAAGGATGATGAGGAACCGACCTGTCTGAGAGTAAGAAACTGGAATGTCGTGTCAAGCTCAAGATCCTTGCAGAATTCGTAAAAATCAGCAAGGTTTTCTGCCTGCGGATTAGACAAAAATTCTAAGCTAGAATTCAAAGCCATAACAGAGTACAAATTTGGCATAAATAAGATGACAGACCTGCATGCTAGCTCTTTTATAGATTGCAATAGCCTTGATAGCATCATACCTCGGCCTCTCGAAGAACTGGATCATACCAATGAGATCCGGAAATACTTTAGAGGTATTAACAAATATAAGTCATGTATGACAATGTCATGAAAAATCACTTTACCATATCAACAAGGTTGATGATTCTATCATTGATTGCGCAATATGTTTTAAAGCTCTCCTCCAAAGCCTGTCGCATGCAACACACGGCCATAAGATTTCCTAGAACAAATATTACCTCGCAAAATGCAAACGACAACCTTTGTAGTAAAAAAAAGGCTTGTGGTTTACCAAGGCTAATGCATATTGAATGAGGTAGTTTGAGCATGCTAAACCTTCAGGCTGCAAAGGTGAAAACATGAATTCAGCTAGTAAACAGTTCTTAGAGCCAGTAGCGTAACAAGGCAGTGATCTGACCTGACAGCCCATAAGCCTGAAGAGCAGCTGCTGCAATGAAGGCAAATGCTCCATAAGATCAAGCCAAGGCATCGTCCTGGTTCTACTATGTGCCTGCATTTCTCAGGATCACAACCTTCCCATCCGCACAAGGCAAACAAACAAAACTTCGCCGCCACGATTGCTGAAAAGACATAGTCCCTACCTTGGCAGAATGCTGGGGAGATCTCATCAGACGCTCGGTTTCGATGTCGTATTTTAGATTCCTAAAGCACTCGAGCCGCTCCTCCAGGAAGAGCGCGTAGGTGCGAACCCACGCGGAGCAATCCCAAGCTACCAAGATCAAGAACAAGGTGAATCATTTGAGGTGCCATTTCTACCGATTATGAATCGGGAAATGCCATTGCCTTGGGGTATCTTGCCTCATTGATGCAAGGATGTTTCACATCTTTTTCCCTGTTCCTGGGAGGAAAAGGAGGCATTGCAAGGGACCAACCTAATGGGCTCGAGCCATCCTTGAAATTCGCCATGTGCAAAAGGTTTCTTTTGTGTGAGTGGGCCAGGAACTCTTCCTTGAAAGTAGGATCGCCTTCTCGCAGAAGCCTGTGTATCACTATCAACGTCTTCAAGGCAACCTACAATAAGATGGCATGAACAATGCAGTAGTTAATGTGCTGAAAAGAAGGCTCGAAACATGGTTTACTTTCTAACCTAGACCATGAGAATGGAAGATGAGGAAATTGATAGGAGGCCACGAGAAAGGACACGCACTGTCCAATTCTTTGTCTTGGACAGCCTTCTGGACAAGGCGTATATGCAGTAGGCGACATCGGCGCGAGGGCGGGTCATCGAGGTTGCCAAGAATATTTCTGCAACAATGCGAGACGAAATGGCACTTACAAGATGCCAAGAATATTTTTGCAACAATGCGAGACAAAATGACAAGCTTACAAGATGAACCTGATGAGCCTGGCAAAAAAGGAAGAGAAACCGGAGAGCGGCGATTTGGTGCCCGGGCTCAGATGAGCCCAGGCATGAACATTACCATGATTTAAAAATTAAAAAAAAAATCAATTTTTTTGTGGTGCAAGATGATCCTGTGCGTTAACTCCGTGTAAAATTTTGTGAAGTTTGGACATTTGTGGAGCTCGTGAAAAAGGGCAAATTTCAGATGGTTGAGAAATTTTTGGAAATCGCATTGTTCATGCCTGATTTTATCTTTTTTGCCACGAGCTTCTCGAATGTCCAAACTTCACAAAATTTTGCACGGAATTCACGCACAGGAGCATCTTGCACCACAATTTTTTTTAGAATTGTTTGAACTTTTTTTCTATTTTAAATCAAGGTACTGTTCACATGTGAGGGCTCCGGGTTGAATTATCGAGAGAAACCGTCCTAAATTTTCTAGGCGATGAAAGAGCGGATCGATTGCTCACTTCTGACGTGGCGCTCCTTGGGAGGGCATTCTACGTGGTTGGTCGCCTTGACAATGGCAATATCCAAATCCTGACAAACCCAAGCAAAGCCAGCCTTGTGAATCACACATCGATTATGGTAGGAAATGCACATCGAAAAGAGAAATTAATCGCACACAAGGAGTGACCCATCCATGCGTTGGTTGGTGGCTGACCTTGAAGTCGCTGTGGACCTTGGCGAGGCCGACCCTGGTGGAGTCCTTGAGGGCGCCGTAGGCCTTGCGCCACGACCCCATCAGGCTCCCCCCACCCCACGATCACCCCCGCGCCGTGGTTCCCTCCCTCGCTCGCTCGCTGCCTCCCTCTGCCCAACCGGCGGGTGGGGGTGGGGGTGGGGGTGGGGGTGGGCGAATGGCCCCCCTCCCGGGCTGGCTCTCGTTGACCCCTCGCGCTAATTTTGGCAAAGCAAGCTGCTAGCTCCATCGGTGCCGGTGCGAGCGATCCAGCTGCCGTCCGTTCGCCCCTACGCCTAAGCGGAAACGAATAATTTGAGCACGATGAGAGAGAAAGAATCATGGGTGGTGACGTCGTGATCGTATGTGACCGATTACCGCGGAGCTCTGTCTAGAAACGCACGGGAGGACCAAGAAGAAGACGAGGAAGCGCCCGTAACCGTCCGGACCATACGGTTCGGACGGGTTTTGCCATCCAACGTGGGCTCTATATCCATTCATGAGCCGGTTCGAACGTCTTTTTTTTTCATGAACCAGAATCAAACAGGTGATCGCGGGAGTCAGAACCGCTGCCACGCCCGCTTCTAACAAACCTGGCCTATCCAAAATCCTCTCCCTCACCTGCGCTCTTTTCCTCCAGAGTTTACGCTCCGCACTAAAGCCAGTCTAAAGCGAACGTGACCTCTCACTGGCGCCAGCATTGAAGCGTCTCGTTGGACGAGAGCGTCGCTTGCTGCATGCACGCTGCACACGCTTTCTCTCCGCATTAAAAAGGCACCCGTCTGCCCGCCTACCTTCATTAAACCAGCGCTTGTGCCAAGGAACACACTCTGGCATTCCGAGCGCCACACGTCCGTCCCTCTGCCGACCAACATTAAACAACTCTCTGGTTGACGCCTCACATCCACCCACTATTTAAGCGTGACCACGCGCCGGACAAACCACACAACACCCCGACATCAGTCTTCTCCTTGCACCACATCCGCCATGGCCTCATCGAGCTCCACATCCCTCTGGGACAACCTCTCGCCCGAGCAGAAGGAGATCACTAACATTGGAGCTAGCTGGGTTGCCCGGCGTGCCAGCTGGTTACACGTTGGCTTGTCAGTAAGCCCTCCGAAGTAGGTGCCACTGCCATCGCCAGGTCGTTCTCGACCGTCCATGCTGACCAATGCCGTCTCCCGATAAATCCTGCGTGAGCGATGGCGGCAACACATCCGACGGGCGGAGAAAGAAGCCATGTTAGCGGACTTTGACACAACGGCGGAGTGATTTGCCTAGGGCATGGACGACGACTTCGCCAACAACGCGTCGGTCGCGCCCCTGCGCCACAACGACGAAGGAGGCATGCCCGCATCTGTTGCCGATAATAAGGAAAAGTAGAACATGGGAGGCCGCTGCCGTCGCTTGGGTACCACGAAGGCCACTGCTACCGCCTCCCGGGTTGCAAAACCGGTGACTTGCCTGGTGAGGGGTTTGTAGGCCACGACGACCGTCTTCCCCTGCCCCAAAACCTACCCTGATCCGTGCTTCACGGTGGCGGAGGGAGGCTATTCTTCTCCTCCTGCTGAAGCATATCCCTTCGGGGCTCACAACAGTTTGATGAGCGGGCTGCCTAGCATAGGGAATACATGTCGTGGGAATGGAGATCCGTCATGGCCGGCATTAGACTAGATTTAGCCTAGTCCGGTGTAGTTTATTTGAAATATGTCCGAAATGTAAATGGTTTTGTCCGGCTTGTATGGAAATCATCTGGTTTGCATGTAATCCGTCCGGCCTAGCACTAGTAGAAAACAGGGCTTTCGTTCGGGCCAGATAAGCACATTAGTCCCGGTTCAGTCACGAACCGGGACTAATGTGAGCATTGGTCCCGGTTCGTGCGGCTAAAGGCATTAGTCCCGGTTCAAATGAGCCCTTTAGTCCCGGTTTGAGACACGAACCGGGACTAAAGGGTGCGATGCCCTTTAGTCCCGGTTCGTATATCAAACCGGGACTAAAGATTAGACCTTTAGTCCCGGTTTGAGACACAAACCGGGACTAAAGGGTGCAATGCCCTTTAGTCCCGGTTCGTGCCTCAAACCGGAACTAAAGGTCCCATTTTCTAACTCTACACCCCCCATGGATCGCCTTTTCAGTTTTGTAAAAAAGCAAAAGAAAATGATAAAAACTTCAAAAAATAAAATCCTTCGAGATGTAGTTATATTACTACATCTACTAGTTAGGAAAATTAAAAAACTTAAATTTGGACATGTTTTGCAAAAAAGTGTCATAAAAAGTAAAACGGCTATAACTTTTGCATACGATGTAAAAAAAACGTATAATATATCAAAATGTTCAGCACAAAAATTTATGCTCAAATTCTAAAAGGAAAAAAGTTATGCTCGAATTTCAGTATTTTTTTGAATTTTGGTTAAATCAGGTCAAACTACTTATTCAAGAAGTATTAGTGTTACTAAATAATTATTCAAGATTATTAGTGTTACTAAATAATTATTACATTTTTTAGAATTTTGGTCAAATATGGTCAAACTACTTATTCGAGAAATAGTAGTGTTACTATTGTCAGGAAAACAACAAGTGCAGACTTGGAAACGAGGGGGAATAGAACCCGAAAGTTAAGCGTGCTCAGACTGGAGTAGTGAGAGGATGGGTGACCTACCGGAAAGTTAGATGATTTAGAATGATGATGGGTGATTAGAGATTAGAGGTTAAATTGAGCAGTGATGAGGGGTGATTAGAGATTAGAGGTTAAATTGAGCAGTGATGATGGGTGATTAGAGATTAGAGGTTAAATTGAGTAGTGATGAGGGGTGATTATAGATTAAATTGAAAAATAATTCAGAAATTTGAAAATAAAAAAATTCAAAACAATTAAAAAAAATTCAATTTTTTTAGTAAAAATACCTTTAGTCCCGGTTGTGATCGGCCGGGAAGTTAGATGATTTAGAATGATGAGGGGTGATTAGAGATTAGAGGTTTAATTGAGCAGTGATGAGGGGTGATTACAGATTAAATTGGAAAATAATTCAGAAATTTGAAAAATTAAAAACATTAAAAATTAAAAAACAATTAAAAAATCAAATTTTTTTCGTAAACGGGACTAAAGTTGGAGCTCCAGACAGCGGCCACGTGGACGGCCTTTAGTCCCGGTTCTTACACCAGGACTAAAGGGGGGAGGCTTTAGTAACGACCCTTTAGTCCCGGTTCCAGAACCGGGACTAAAGGCCCTCTAGAACCGGGACAAATGACCCTTTTTATACTAGTGTAGTTTTGGATGGCCGGCTCCCGCATCCATGTCCCCATGTCCACGGATTGATCCCTCCCTGTTCGCGGACGGATGCGGTGTCCGGTTTACGGACCAATGTTGGAGATGCCCTAAAACTACTTTTTATGTGCCCAAGATGAAGGAAATATGCCCTAGAGGCAATAATAAAGTTGTTATTTATATTTCCTTATATCATGATAAATGTTTATTATTCATGCTAGAATTGTATTAACCAGAAACTTAGTACATGTGTGAATACATAGACAAACAGAATGTCCCTAGTATGCCTCTACTTGGCTAGCTCGTTAATCAAAGATGGTTAAGTTTCCTGACCATAGAAATGTGTTGTCATTTGATGAACGTGATCACATCATTAGAATGATGTGATGGACAAGACCCATCCGTTAGCTTAGCATAATGATCGTTTAGTTTTATTGCTATTGCTTTCTTCATGACTTATACATCTTCCTCTGACTATGAGATTATGCAACTCCCGAATACCGAAGGAACACTTTGTGTGCTATCTAACGTCACGACGTAACTGGGTGATTATAAAAATGCTCTACAGGTGTCTCCGATGGTGTTTGTTGAGTTGGCATAGATCGAGATTAGGATTTGTCACTCCGAGTATCGGAGAGGTATCTTTGGGCCCTCTCGGTAATGCACATCACTATAAGTCTTGCAAGCAGTGTGACCAATGAGTTGGTTATGGGATGATGCATTACGGAATGACTAAAGAGACTCGCCGGTAACGATATTGAAGTAGGTATGATGATACCGACGATCGAATCTCGGGCAAGTAACATACCGATGATAAAGGGAGCAACGTATGTTGTTATGCGGTTTGACTGATAAAAGATCTTCGTAGAATATGTAGGAGCCAATATGAGCGTCCAAGTTCCGCTATTGGTTATTGACCGGAGATGTGTCTCGGTCATGTCTACATAGTTCTCGAACTCGTACGGTCCGCACGCTTAACGTTCGATGACGATTTATATTATGAGTTATGTGATTTGATGACCGAAGATTGTTCGGAGTCCCGGATGAGATCACAGACATAACGAGGAGTGTCGAAATGGTAGAGAGGTAAAGATTGATATATTGGGCGAAGGTATTCGGACACCCGAATGGTTTCGGGACGTTTCAGATATTTATCGGGGAACCGAGGGGTTACCGGAACCCCCCGGGGAAGTTATTGGCCTTAATGGGCCATAAGGAAGAAGGAGAGGGAAGGCCACAAGGTGCCCCCCCAAGGGCAGCCCGAATTAGACTAGGGGGAGGGGGCGCGGCCGGCCCCCTTCCTTCCCCTCTCCCTCTCCTTCCCTCCTTCCCCCTCTTGGATTAGGAAAGGGGGGGGGGCTATTCCTACTAGGTTTGGAGTCCTAGTAGGACTCCCCCCTGGCGCGCCTCCTCCCTGGCCGCCGGCCTCCTCCTCCCTCCTTTATATACGGGGGCAGGGAGGCACCCCAAAGGACAACAGACAATCTCTTAGCCGTGTGCGGTGCCCCCTCCACAGTTTACCACCTTGGTCATATCGTCGTAGTGCTTAGGCGAAGCCCTGCGCTGGTAACTTCATCATCACCGTTGCCACGTCGTCGTGCTGACGGAACTCTCCCTCGTCCTCAACTAGATCAAGAGCTCGAGGGACGTCATTGTGCTGAATGTTTGCTGAACACGGAGATGCTGTGCGTTCGGTGCTAGGATCGGTTGGATCGCGAAGACGTTAGACTACATCAACCGCGTTAGTAAACGCTTCCGCTTTCGGTCTACGAGGGTACGTGGACACACTCTCCCCTCT